TTTTCTTTTCTTTTCTTTTCTTTTCTTTTCTTTTCTTTTCTTTTCTTTTCTTTTTCCTTCCCCTTAGCTGGCTTTCCTTTTTCTGTTGTTTTTAATTGTTCACTTTTACACTGTGCTTAAACTTTGTACCCTGTGAATCTGCCATTTACCAGCTGAGTGACCCTGGAGAAGCTATTTAACATCTAAAGCTCCACTTTCTTCATCTGTCGAGTGAGAATTATGGATGCAAATGATACTATCATCCCAACATCCCTTTTTAGTAACCACTCTTCCGCTCTGTCCATATTCCCTGGGAGCCATACAAGGGGCTCAACCCTCTAAGCACTTAGATTAGTCTAGAAGTGATCACCTAATTCAAGCTGGACCAGGGAGACACTGCCAGGAATTTTAGATTTAGGACTGAGAGAGTCAGATCAATTTCATTCTAGTAGCTGAGATTATAAAACATAAATCTCAGGAGTGCCAGAAGCTGTGTTTCCCACTTAATGAAGGAGCGCATCCACGGTGAAAAAGCAGAATAAGATGCGGGGAGGGAGTCGTAATGGTCCCAATGATTCCTTGCTTCTTGCTCTTCCTGTAGTTTGGCTGTTCCATTAGACATCCCAGTATCTTTACAATAAATTATCCTTTGTGCATACAATTTGAGTTTGATTTCCAACACTTGGAGCCAAAATAGTTCTAATTCATAGAAAATAATTCCGACTTTGAATAGTTGTTATAAAAGTAAATGAGATAAAATAATTAGGTGCCTAGCATAACACCTGGCACATAATACTTGCTCAAGAAATGATACCTAATAATATTATTTAGAAGATGCAAATACAAATTCTAAATCAGTTAATTAATGAATACAATTTTAATAGCTTACAAATCTCCTTGCAGTTTTGAAATCACTCAAAGGATTCTTTGGTTGTTGGTCTTAAAAGAATTGTAAAATAAAAGAAATGCTCTGAATTAATTTTGCTGTATATTATTGCATATATCTGACTGAGAGATTCTGTTTAGTTAAACAATCTTAGAGAATAATGAAGCCCCAG